ATTGTGGAAAATATCATTATCTTTCTTTTTTGATATTTTCACCATTATTTCCATCTTTCATTGTGCAAAATGTCATTTTCATCCATTTTCTCAATTAAAAATTGTGAAATGACGAATATACATTTTTTTTAAATAGAAAAAGAAAAAACTTAATGCAACCAGTCCCAATTTTTTTAAAAATCACAAATGAGTTTCAAATAAATTTTTAAAAGTGCAATTAGCACATAATGTTCATACATTTCACTATTATTAAGAAAAACGTCAATACCTTTCATTTTTTGACATTTTCACCTTTAATTACACATTTAATTGCGCAAACCATCATTTTTATCAATTTTCTCAATAAAGAGTTTTGAAATGATGAATATACTCTCCTATTTAAATAAGCTAAAGAACTGATTGCAATTATAGTCCCAAATTTTTTTTAAAAAAATTGTGAAAAAGTTCAAAATAATTTTTTTTTTATAAAAAGTGCAAACATGTCTCAAATAAATTATTAAAAAATTAGAAATTAATAATTAAAAAAAAAAGCAAACAAGTCCTAAATAAATTATTAAAAAATTAATTTTTTTTAATTTTCTTTTTTTTATTATTATTTAAATATAATGGTATATTCATCATTTTACAGCTATTTATTGAGAAATTGGATAAAAATGAATAGAAATAATGGTTTGAACAATGAAATGTGTAATTTGGGATAAAAATGCCAAAAAAATATAAAAAACTATGAACTTTTTCGCCATAATAGTGAAAGATATAGACATTATGTACTAATTACATTTTCAATAATTTATTTGGAACTCATTTGAGTTTTTTTTTTTTTTAAATTGGAACTATGTTTGCAAATTTTTTTTTTTATTATTTAAAGAGAATTGTATATTAGTCATTTCATAATTTTTAATTGAGAAAATGGATGAAAATGATTTTTTGCACATTTAAATGTGAAAATAATGGTGAAAATGTCAAAAAAATAAAATAAAAGGTAAGAACATTTTCTACAATAATAGTAAAAGGTGGGAACGTTACGTACTAATTACATTTTTTACATATATTGTACTATTTAATTCGATCTAATATTGTCAAGTTAAGCATGTCTAAGATCTGTTTAATATAGATTTTTTGAAACAAATTTTGTGAAAAGTGGTATATGTGAAGGATGTGCTATTAGAAATAGAAAAAATTATTAATCCATGTCTAAAATTATTTTATTAAAATGAGTGTTAAAAAATCTTTACCAAAAATGAGCATAACGTGTAATCAAAGAATTAAGGCATTATATATAAGTGTCACCAACCAATTTTGAAAATTTTAAACCTCCATTTTCAGTGACGCGATCAATTCTCCCAAAAACTAATTAAAGAGGCGCAATCAAAGATAGAACCGATCATCCATACTAAACACTATTTGTTTGGATCTTACTTTGAGAATCCCTTACAGGATAAGCACATCTTAATGTTTTAGTAATGAATAATGCTATTTAATACTATTGGTGTTACAGAACCAACCTAGGTGGCATTCGGTGTCATTAAAAGAGTATAATTTTACCTTAAATTAAATATATTATATAATGCCACATAAACTAGATTTCTAGCACCATTTGTATTAGGTAGCACTATTCTTTAGTAATGCTCCGCAAACTATTGTCAGAATTTTTTACTAATTGACCATTCACTCTACGTAAAAATCAGTCTTTTTTTACCGCATGTAACAAATAAGAAATCAGATTAGTAGTTATTAAAATGAATAATGTTATTCAAATTGTACAATAAACCTGATTAATCTGTCCATAAGCATGCATTGAAAGGGAAAAGAAAAACTGAAAGTTACAATTGCGACTCAACTAATCAGATCAGGCAATTACACATATTTCGGGAAATTATTGTTCTGGTTCGGTTCACTTCACATCTGAACATGCTAGTTCAACAATATTTTGAAGACAGCTCTAACTTTTCCGAAGGGGAACAAGCTGGCAACAGCTCAACAAAGATTTCCTAACAATTTTTGCTGACAAATCGATAAAAGTAAACATGGTTCAGAGGGAGAGAGGAAGTAAAATTTCAGATGGAACATTGTTTCTTTAAGCAAGACACTTCGTATCACGGCTCAGCTGATCACAGATGTCTTCATGGCAAGGTGGGTAAGTGACCGTTTATGGTAGGTCTGGCGTAACTTCTTATAATTATGTACAAAAGCTGTAAGATCAATCTCCCTATCCAGAAGTTGCCTGTGGAGGGACTCAGATTCGTCCTCGGTTTTATTCATTGCCTCTCAAATAATAAAATATAAGTTATTTTCCTTTAATTTTCTAATGAACTCTATTTTTTAGCAGAATGATCCGACGTGATTGAAATCATAAAAATCACTACTTTAATTTTCTAATAAACTCTATTCTTTAGCAGACATGATCCGCGTGATTCAAATCATAAAAACCACTAAAAGATCATAATTTTCAATATGATTGTAAGAATTAGAAAAAAAAAAACCATGTTCAGTCTTGCATAAAGTAAATGCACAAGTGGAATTCAAATTCAGATTACTAAAGTCATGTCTACACCCATCAGTCAGTCAGTCACCAGCCTCTACCCCCATCTGTCGCCACCAAAACGGTTTCCCCTATGCACGTGCGGGGGACCGTGTTAGAAACCAACAAAATGGTTACCTTTTCCTTGTGTGTATTCACAAGGAAATTTTGGGTATAACATAGCAGGCTCATGCTTATTTGGATAATTTGTCACGGAAAGAAAACAATAAAGCTAAGTTTTGGAAGGTGTGCCACAATGCCAAAATTGTACAGGAATGAAGAAAAAAGTGTGGAGGACTTCTATATTGGTAAAACACTAATATTAAGGGCATGTTTGGTATAGCTCAAAATCCAATTAAAATTGAAAATATAGCCGTTATTGGGTTCCACTCATCTAATAAAAGTCAACAATAACAGTTAGTTTTTCAATTTTAATCCGATTTTAATCTCTACCAAACACCCTCTAATATAGCAGTATAGGGGAATGAACTTTGATGAGGTGATCTTAACAAGTTACATCAAGAAAATTTTGGGAAATGGTCTTGAGTGGATATATGCATAAGATGCAGTGTATGCTGGCTGTAGTTAACTAGGAAAACGGTGAAGCATACTGAGATGAATAAAAGATTACCAGAGTTAGTGGAACATGCTCGATCTTATTGTAAAAGTTAAGACAGTTGGCTAATGCGAACATCTTGCATGGGTTCTATAGAGATAGAGGTCGCTTACAGCTGTATAATTACAACTTCCCCCCTTGCAAATGCAAAAATGCTCATAGGCTATCTCCATCGACCTTTTATGCTCTTGATGAGAAGAATTGGTATTATTGGAATATTCTTTTTTTATGAAACACAACCTAACAAACCTCTAATTAATGGATCATGTTACCATTTCCCAACTTTTAATGTGAAAAGTTCAAATTTAGCCCAATATGTAACTAGCGTATGATAGATTCAAAGGTTTTACTTCACGGATCAACACATGGATGAAGTTTATGGAGAAGGGAAGCAGGAGAATAATTCTTCAAAGTCTCTTCTTTTTTCCTCTCTAATTCATGCAGTTTTTCTTGAGCAGTAGCCAGCTCAGATGTTCGGATAATTCTGCACTGTAGTTAGAAAAAGAATAGATAAAATAGTTCCACAATCAGCATGAGTTCAAACTTCAAGGGAACTTCACAGAATCAAAGGTAAGATCATGACCTGATTCCTTAACTCCACCATGTGTGGTTCTTTTTCCATATTCTCTCCTACAAAACGAGATCATTATAGATGTACTGATATATATATGCTTAATATAGAAGCTGGATAACATTCTCAATACAAATTTGACAATGAAGTAAATTCAGAACTTACTAGCAAGCTGCAGAGATTCGTTGCGAAGTTCATCTCCAACCTGATTATGTAATAATTACAGAATGGAGAAAGTGTCAAAGTGTAATTGCAGCAACTATCTTTAGAGAATACAGTATGTTAAGAAAAACAACGAGACAGGGCACCTGTGTCTCTAATCATGAAAAATAACAAACACAGACCGGGTAAATCATATTCCTAATGAGGTGGAATGTGGAAAGCTGGAAATGAGGAATTTAGAGAAAAAACACAGGTCATGAGGAAAGCGACACTCTACCTTTTCCAATCAAGTATATATTGAAAATGCATCACATGAAATAAGAGAATTTTCCCCAGTTCTATGCATCAAACTCAAACAACAAAGTCCAACTTTGATCAAAATACAGGGTCACTATCTGATTACCAACTGATATCAATTTCATCTACATTGTCAATACTCTACAGTCCACTAGACCATCAACCCTAATTACACATTTACTTTATCTGGAGAAGCAATAATCATAAATGAACCAACAGTACAGTATACACACCCACCATATTATGCACGTGATAAATCTAAAATAGAAATTATTATTCACCTGCAACTTCAACTATCCATTTCACTGACTTCTACATAGTCTACCTATTTATAAACTCAGTAAAAACTTTTTAAGTATTAATTGTTGACAATAATGGCCTAGAGCAAGCAAGAAGAATGAAACAAAAGATCCAACAATCGCAACTTACTCTGTCTTGAGTTTTGACGGGTTCAAGTGAGAGTAAGAGGTTCTGATAAGCATCCTTGTCAGACAAAAGCTTCTGAAGCTCATCAACGCTAAACATGTTAAACAACAGTCCAGGAAAGATTTAACACAAGATCAAGAAAGAGAAGCACGATATATTAATCAATAAATTTGAATATTACAGATATATGGTTTCATTGACCATCTCCTAAAAGTTCACAAGACAAGACTTTACCTTTTATCTTTCAACGTAGCGATGATGCCAGCAGCCTCTGCAGGCGAAACATTTGATAAGGAATTTGCTCGATCAGCAGGTCTTGGTATGTTGAATTTGCTGAAAGAGCCAGCATTAGGTGATGTGGGGAGTGAAGAACTCGAATTGACAACAGATGGTGAATACCATGAATCTCTGGGCACTTCCTGTTGGTGTGGCTGAGCTTGCTGCTCCTGAGAACCCCTGGTAAATGCAATTAAAAGCATAAAAGGATACACATGATCTCAAACTTCTATATACTAGAACCGGAAACAACGTTAACTGAAAATTTTCTTCTACATTTGGCTGCAAGCATATGCAGTTTCAAACTGAAGAACAAATGAAAAAGACTTTTAAACAACTGGTTTCTAGTCTGCAGTTCCATCATCCTAAGGCACTAGTTTGATTATATGTTCATGACTTCAATGTTCAACATGACTGACTAGATCAAAAATTGAGTAACTCAATGCCAATAAGACCAAGATCAAGTAGGCAGAGTAATGGTAAAAGCAAATGATATGACATCAGCCCTTATCAACATTCATTTCCATCTTTGTAACACAATGAACAATGCAACATTCCGCTCAATTACTCTTGCTTAGAGCAGGACATTCCACCCTTACCCCTTCTCTCTTCACTTTCTCCTCCCCAGTTAATCAGGGAAGCCTACACATATATTAGCTCCCGTTCTTTGATTTCCTACAAATTATTAAAACTTGAAGCTGGCTCAGAGTAAAAACAATATTGTCTTCCATAATTAGAAAACAAAGTTCAATTAACAAGCAAGTAAATTCTATTATGAGCACTAGAATTTTGACAGAATTTAGCAAATAAAACCAAGAATACACCCGTTTCCCAAATATATTGAATAAAAAAAAAAAACCAAACTTATGAAATGCACAATCTCAAGTCTTCCCCTTCTCTCAGAATTTTTTTTAACACCAATCACCTCACTAATTCATACCCTTGAAGTGTTAATAAAAGAAACAATGAACTTTTGGCAGATCTTATTCTCGAAAAAGCAAACAATTTATAAAATTGCTGTCCCAACATTACGTTCCGCATAAAATTTCGATTATTCAGAAATCTAGCACACACAAACTCCTCGTAATGTTATAACAACCGCCCCCCCCCCCACCCCACCCCCGGCGCCTAAAAAAAAAACAGTTGAAATTTGAATTAATACCAGAATTTGAACATTATCGGCTGAATCTTGTACGGATTATTAAGGAAAAGAATCGAAACCAAAGAAAGATAATCTGCCCTAATACACTAGTTTTCTCTTTAAAATTTGGGATCAATTGACTTTAATTTATAATTCACAACTTGAATGTTGAAACTTGAAACTGAAGCGCGTTTGAGGTTAGAGGTGCCAATCCGGTGTCCGGGCCGGGTCGGCCCGCCATATGAACCCGGCGATTACCGCATGAAAAAAGTCCATCCAGTACGGGGTTCGGGCCTGTTCCGATTCGGCCCACAAATTTTGAATTACAAAGTACAACTCAGGCCCGTCCGTCGATCCATCCGGATCGAGCCCATGCGGGTCGCAATTTGTTCCAATTTGACCTGTATTATTGTATAAATAAAATTATAAAAATATAGAATTTTTCATATTTATAGCAAAAAATATTTATTTTGTTAAATGTAAATTAAAAATTGAATAAAATGATAAATTCATATTTATACCAAGAAATGTTTATATAGAATTCAAATTTAATAATTNTTTTCCAATCAATCTTCAGGAACTGTAAAATTTTCGAAGTTTTCAGCAAAACTGAAAACTTTTAAAAAAAAAAATTTCATGGGTCAGCGGGTTAACTGCGGCCCGTGAAGGTGCAACCCGCGGGTCACACTTTCTTGACCCGGGAACCGCCCGCTTGGGTCATGGGTTGGCCGGCGGTCCCAAGTCAATCCGGATCGATTTTCACGGAGTCTGGCCGATCCGTCCGTCTTGACACTTCTATAATCTATTTGAGGTTTTACAAATTTCCTCTCATTTTTTAACAAACTATGGCGTAAAGATGAATTTTTCAAGAATAGCCCAATTTAGAGGGAGAAAAAAAATATATTAATAAATAGTTAGAGGTGGTCATTTTAACTAGAATCAATATATTTTGAATGCGAATCGAATAGTCCAGGTCAGTTCTAAAAAATAGGAATTGAAATTCAGAATCAATTCGAAAATTTTATAGGCCACAATTTGTTTATCGGTCACAAATAAAAAATTGAAACTTCACAAATTATTTTACGATCACAATTCAAAAATTTTATTTGTCACAATTTGTTATCGGTTACAAATCAGAAATTTTGTAAGTTACAAATTATTTTACGATCCCAATTCAGAAATTTTATAAGTCACAATTTGTTCATCGGTCACAAACAAAATTTTTTTACGTCACAACTTAGTAGACAATTACAAATTGTCAAATTATTGGTAACAAATAAAAAATTTCTTATGTCACAATTTATATTTTTCATTGGTCACACATTGTTTATCGATCACAAATTTAATGAATTCAATGGTCACAAATAACCAAATAATCTGTTACCACACTAAAACTTGTCACCAACACCCACCAACAGCATGACAACCGAACCCCCGCCCCCGCCGGAACCACCAGCACCACCTCTCGGCAACAAACCATCATCTAAAAATACTGACATCACCACGAACACCACTATCCACCCACAACCACTGCACCACCACAACCACCACCACCAACAGTAGCACAACCACCAATGCGGCATGTACCACCACCGTCTCCTCATAGGAATGTTGATTTTCGCCAGTCTGCAAAAAATATGCAACACTCATTCAGTCCAAACACTGGGGACTAAGCCTTTAAGTCTATCAGGTAGACCAAAGAACATAGGCCAGAAAACCTCCATGAGACTAGAGATCACCAGTAACTTCACAGGTTATTGTGTCCCTAGCACTGTCGCACCACCACCTTACTAACAGCACCATAACCAACACATAAAGAAACCCCAATCAGAGGAAGAAACATTACCATTTACAAATCACAATGCTGCTAGCCCAAAACCCAAAGCACTCATAAATCATGACGTCGTTCACCAAAAACCCCCAACGCAAATCGGAGGAAAAGTGTTTCCGTTTACCTAAAACGCACAGATGCACTGGACCTTGCGCAGTGCCCGCGCTCACTATCGGGGCGCTGCTACGGACGGCAACGTTAGGGGTGTCCAAAAGTCCCGACCCGAACCGGACCGAACCGAACCCGAACCGAACCGAGCGGTTCTTCATAAATTAAATACCCGAACGGGTACCCGAATCGAGAACCGATGGGTTTGGGTCGGGTCTCGGGTCTAGACCAAGAACCGAAGAACCGAACAAGAACCGAAACTAAATAATTTTTTTATTTTTTATATTGAATTAATTAAATTATTTTATTTTTTTCTAAA